TGACTCCATGTCTCAAAAATCTCCCAACCAAACTGCTAATCGTCACCCGAACCTCTAACTGCCAAACCAATCACCACCCTTCTATTTCCTTTCCTGGTTGCTGCTAGCATTGGTTGGAGGCCCCCCAATGCCCCTTGTCACAAGGCTATGGATGGATAGGGGCCGAACATCGGTCCCCCCTCCCCCCTCTCGCTCACTTTTACCTGTTACTTTTGGACTTTGTTATTCTCATTTTTTGCTAAATAGTCCCAAGTCTATTATTTGCCCTTTGGTACCCTATAATTTATGTCTTGTTGCATTTTGGCCCTCAAACGTTCCCCAATTCTTTACTTTATATCTCACCCTTTAGTCTTTGCACTCTCACCCCTAACTTTCTACCATGTCCCACTCCAAGCACCATCCTTCCAACATTTGAATTGTTTTACCATTTTTTTTTTTTTTGAAAACAACAATGAAAATGTTTCATTCACTATCAAGCATAAGAATATTACAAAGGAAAAGAGGAGGGAAAAACATCCACTCTCCACAACTAGTGTGACACCCCGTAATCCAAATTCGATTAAGGGATTAATTAAGTAATTAATCCTAATTCAATTGGTAATTTAATTCCTTAAATTCCTGAAAATTCAATAGTTGGGGACTAGTAATTGACTAGTCAATCCAAAGTCAAGGTTGTACCTTAAGCTTTGTGAGGAGTTCCCTTGTTCCCTTACACCTCTTCATTTTAGTAAGGGTATTCATGACATTTCACCTTGTGTTAGTAATGCAAGCTAACCTAGTAGACACTCCTCATTCTTTCTCCTTACACTTTCCAAACTTGAGCTCTCCCTTCTCTTTAAAAGTTAGATAGCTTTTCTTCCAAGCCAAGTTAGAGCTTTGTCAAATCTTCAAGGGTTGTCTCCAAGATTCTACCTTTCATACATTTGGGCATCTAGGAGGGTAAGATCTATGTTCATCTTGTGTTTTTAGTGTTTTCTAAGGTGTCTTTCCTTAAAGATAGAATCTTTATGATCTTTTGGTGTGTTCTTGAAGTGGGTTTGGAAGGTGAGCCTTATTAGGAGCTTGGTGAAGTGTTAAGTGAAGGTTTTTATCTACAAGAGGTAACCCATGCTCTACAAAATCTATTTTGCTTACCTATGTGATGATTTCTTGGATTCTGCATGTGATTTTGCTATGAAATGTGAGTGTTTATGCATTGTCTTGTGAAAATGCATATCTAGAGCTTGTGTTTAGGGTTCTTGTATGCCATTGCTTGGCTATTCCTTTGATTTAAGTCATTTTTTTGTATTTGGTGAGATTTGGCATGTTTTGGACTTGAATTTGAGCTTGGTGTTGAAAATCCCCGAAGGGATTATTTTGGTGTACAGGTGTGTACCCGCGGGCGGAACGGCGGGTAGGCGTCCACCCGCCGCCCTACCCGCGGGGTACATGTGGCTTGTGGGTGTGTACCCGCGGGCGGAACCACGTGTGGGGGTCTACCCGTGGGCCCACCCACGGGGAACATGGTATGGTTGTTGGGGGATTTGTTCCCCCGTGATTCTTTTGACTCGGTATTTGGTCTTTTGACTTCCCGATGTTCTTTTGTGAAACTATTTTAGCGTATTCTTGATGTTTCGTATGTCTAGAACTATATGGTAGGAATCCATGTAGGTTTTGGTGTCTTGAATCGTGCTATGTGTTCAACATTGTGATTCGTTGAACTGTGATGAGTCTTGTGTGTTCTTCGGAACTACTTTCGGTTTACCCGTTTGATAAGCATGCTAGTTCGGTGTTTAAATGCTAGCGTGTGTGTTGTTTGTACCTTTCTATTGTTGATGATGACTTGTGTTATTCATCGTTGTTGTTGGACTGTGATCCATTTCTTGATTGAGTATGGTTTCATATCTTCGTTGTGATCCGTTGATTGATTCCTGTTGAGGTGTGGTGTGTGTGGCTGTACTTAGATTGCACGATTAGTGGTATGGGACACTAGTCACCAAGGTACGGCAGTGGTCCTCGTGGTGGCCATGACGTGGTTATGGAGTTTGTGGTCTTTGTGTAAGGTTCACGTGTTATCCAGGGCATGTGTTGCCGTGTGTGATCGGTACCCTCGTGTACTATGAATTGGTGGTTCTGTTGGAGGGACTGTTGGAGGGGGAACGACGGTTCCCAGGGGTCCTGGAGGTAAAGGTTGGAACTAGACATAAGGTTGGGGGTAGCCATAAGGTTGGAACCGGGCATAAGGAAGGCATATCAATTTGTGATGGGTGATGTCATGAAGGCTTGTGTAGTCGTTGTTGTGAGTTCTCTTCTTGTGACGTGTGTAGTCACAAAGGCATGTGTTGCCAGTGGTTGTGTCTTTACTCTATTGTGTTATGCATATCGGGTGTTAATCTACTGTGTGATGGTAGATTATACCTTGAGCCGTTCTCGTGAGTCGTTGTACTTCGTGTGGTCTTAGGATGTGTTCCCGTATTATTGTTGTGAGTGCATTGAGTCTTGTGTTGACTTCTGCACTTGGTTTTGAACCTATATATGTATATTCCGTATCGCAAATGATTTTACAAACGTATATCCTATCTATGTATGATATTTCACATGTATTGGTAGGTTACTAGCATTATTCGCTGACTGGGTGTCGTCCCATCTTTTATGTGTTTCTTTCAGGTGATGTGTAGACGTGAGCGCGGTCTAAAACCTACTAGTGTAGTTCCCATGTTTGAGTTGTTATGGCCTGTGTGCCAAGGATAGACTTTAGTACTTTGGATATGTATGGATTTTAGATTGTGAATTATATAGATGTTAGCCTATGCGTTCACCTCTGGGTGAGTGTGGCATAGCACCCTTTCATTTCCAGTTTATATAATCCTTGTTAGTCTTTTGCTGTGTTTGATGTTTTGTTTAGTTATCTGCATGTTTAAGGCTTAAATCCGGTATGGAAATTAGGGGGTGTTACAACTAGACCTAGAAAATGATTCCCTAGATAACATGAGCAACCCTATTCGATGATCATTTGACAAAAGAGATACAAGAGTTAGAAAATTGCTCTAACTAATCTTTAATATCAAAGAGAATAAGATCAAATGAGGAAACCCAAGTGTGGAATAAAGCCCGTTGACAACAAAGCATCTATCTCAACAATGACATTATCCAAGTTCTTCGCGTTCAACAACGTTAAAGCTTCCCGAGTCGCTACTGTTTTTTTTAATAGAATTAATGTTAAATAATTTGATAATATTGTTTAGCACTTTAAAACTCTCATAAAACATATATCTAAAATCTAATAAAAGTCAATAATGTTAATCCTTAACTAGTATGAAATCTATATCTATATCTATATATTTCTATATAATAATAGAAATGCTTGGAAAGATCCCCCCCTCCCCCCCCAAAAAAAAAAAAAAACTTAGGGGCATATTTGTCATATCAACATTATTAGACAAAATTTTCATTTTACATTGATATTCCTAATTTCTACACTAATATTCCTAATTTCTACACTAATATTCCTAATTTCTATCCAGTACGTTACAACTTTCCTATAAAAGATATTTTATTCACTCCTACAGTTTAACGTTTATACTCTGTAACTAGTCTTTTCTATGCGCGATGCGCAAAAACATATGCCTAATATTTATTTTTTTTATAATAACTAAAAATTCCTACTAATTAATATCTATATGAAATCAAATTTATTTATTATAATAATCCAATATATAATGTCTACAAATATTATTATCATTAAATAATATAAGAAAATATATGGTGGATGCATGTGCATGGTAACAATAATGGAAAACATAACGGAAGTTATAACGGTGGGGGTATATTTGTCCAAAAAATTATATAGTACAACTCTAAAAGCACAATGTACAAAATGATTAGCATTAAAAATATGGACATAAATGAAGGATATAACTTTAATTGAGACTTATTATGTTTTTAGATTTGTATCTCGAGAATTTTCCAGATTCTAAAACAATGGCGGAAGCAAATATCTTTATAATAGTTTAATTACAATTAAAAATGTGTTGTTGAATTTTTTTTAATTATAATTAATAATTAATTCTTTGATTATATATATATATATATATATATATATATATATATATATATATATATATATATATATATATATGTATCATGGTTGCAAAACTCGGCCGCCTAGGCGCTAGGCGGCACTCATCCTTGCCGTTTTGGCCTATACTTGGCTAAAACTCGGCCGACCACCTAGGCGGCCAACTCGGCCAAAGTCGGCCAAAATCAGCCAACTCGGCTGAGTCAGCCGATTTCGTCCGGTTTTGATCGATTTCGTCCGATTCTGATTAATTTTGTTCAATTTTGACCGATTTTGTCTGAGTTCGTCCGATTTCGTCTGATTCCGTCTTTCATTAATTATTGATTTTAATATTATTATGATGTTATGACTTATAAATTATCATTATTTCATTTATTTAGAGGTGTTATTTGATTGAATGTTGAAAACAGGCTCATTAAAATCGTCAAACTACAAGTCTGTCACTACTTTTTTAAAATTTTTTTGGTGCCCGCCTAGCGCCGCCTAGACCCCCTAGACGCTAGGCGCTACCCGACTGCCCGACTAGCGCCTAGCGCCTACTGCAACCTTGATATATATATATATATATATATATATATATATATATATATATATATATATATGTATATATATATATATATGTATATATATATATATATGTGTATATATATATATATAATCGCACTCACATGCGAATGCTTCGCCCAGGCGCGAAATAGGAATGAATTTTTCTGTTGATCGTCGTTCATCCAACGAAACTCATTTGTAATAACTTTCTCGCGTTTTGCCGCTTGTAAGGGTATTCTTGTCTTTTTAGACGTTTTGTTTCCAAATATGTAATGCATCGCGGTTTATTAGTCTTCATCTTCCTTATTCAAAATCAACAGCTCGATCTGGTGATCGCGTAGGCGGTACAGTTCTTCTTCTGCGGAAGTATTCATCATCTGTTCATCATACGATCGCAATGAAGCTAGGTGAAGTGGATTCGTATCATTTGGATACTTCTCCTGGTTTGACAAAATGTTATGTCCCTTTGTGTGAAGATTCAATTAAACCTTTTGTTGGGAAGGTTTTTCCTGATTTGGATATTGGGGTTGCATTTTATAATAAATATGCATCGATTATTGGGTTTGATGTTCGACTAGGTTACATGGCAAAATCTAATAATGAAGTAGTGTTTGGAGGTATGTTCTTTGTAATCGGGAGGGTCATAAGCATGTTGTTTGTAGGGATAAATCTTCAGTAGCAAAATTGGATGGTGCTGCTGAGTCTTCAGTTAAAAAGAGGAGGAGATTTTCTAATAGGGTTGGGTGTGGGGCTTGTGCTATCTTTTGATATGGAGGTAGTGGCACTTATGTTATTCACAAGTTTGAAGAGCGTCAAAACATTCACTGACATCAGTATTGTCAAGACAGTTTCTGAAGTTGAATAGAAAGGTTGGTCCTGGTCATATGAAGTTCGTTGCTGATTGTGGAAAAGTGAACATTGGGCCAGTGCAGAGTTTTCGGTTGTTTGGTGAGATGTTTGGTAGGTTATCAAATGTTGGTGCAACAAGTTTGGAATTTTGGAATATTAAAAGGGATATAGATTCATTTTCTGCTGGGGTTGATACTCAGATGATTGTGACTATTTTCTTTTAAAAAAAAATGTCCAGCTCTATTTTTTTGCATTTGATATTGATGAGTATGATCACTTATCCAGATTGGGATGATGTTGTTTCTAGGAAGAATTTTACCCTTTTTTGGTGATGTTGTGTCATTTGATGCTACATATCAGACAAACAGGTTAGTTTTGGTATTCTAGGGCATAAGTTTTGTATTCTGTTGTGCTATTGGTCATGTTTTTTGTTATAGTGCAAGTATATATCATTATAGGTGCAACTAGTTTACACCAAATGTGCATGTACTCTCTGACAAACTTTACATTGTTTCTCCAAGTATGATATGGTATTTACACCATTCACTGGTGTTAATGATCATGAAAAGTCTATTACTTTTGGGGCTAGGTTGTTGACAAAAGAGGATATTGAGTCATATGTGTGGTTGTTTGAGAAATTCAAGGAAGCGATGTGCAGCGAGCTAAGATTGCTTGTTACTGATCAAGACCCAGCAATGAGGGTTGCATTCCCACGTGTGTTCAAGGAAGCTAAGCATAGGTTTTGCATTTGGCACATTATGTATAAGGTAGGAGATAAGGTTGGCCCTTCATTGAGTAAAAATGAGACTTTTATGTCAAAGCTGAATTCTGTTGTATGGAGTCATTATTTGGAACCAGCTGAATTTGATCATCAATGGAATCTTTTCATGGAGGAATTTGGGTTGTTGGAGCATAGTTGGTTTCTCAAAATGTATGATCTTCGTCATCTTTGGATCCCCGCATATTTTAGCAATGTTAGTATGAATGGTTTAATTATGACTACTTCACGTTCAGAGAGTGAGAATAACTTGTTTGGTTCTTTTACTACTCCTCAGTCCAATTTGGTTGAATTTTTTATGCATTTTGATCGTGCTATTGGCAGTCAACGTTATTCTATTAATAAACTCAACAGTGACTCTGAGGCATGTTTTCCAGATTTGAAGACACCGTTGTCCATGGAGAAACATGATGCATATGTGTATACTCTTACAGTTTTTTATTTGGTGCAAGTTGAGATTTGTGCAGCATGTTTTAGTTGTCGAGTTCTAAATGTTCGGGAGGACCAAGGTGTTTTGTATTATGATATGAAAGATGGAAATGATCGAGTTTTTAGTGTGGTGCATAAGGTTGCTGAAGTCATAGCTTCATGTGGATGTAAAATGTTTGAAATGGTAGGATTGCCGTGTAGGCATATTTTTGTAATTTTCAAAGATTTGAACTTGGATTCAATTCCATTGGTCTATGTAGTTAACCGGTGGACCAAAAGTGCATCATTGGGTCGGACTTTTGATAGGTGTTGTTGTTGATCAATGTGGAGGTGTTGATGAGAAGTTTGTGCTATTGAAAAATGTTTGGTTAGATATTCAATGTTGTGTTAGTATGGTTCAGTCTGACATGGATCGTTTGCAAGTGTTTTCCCAGATCATTAAGGAGCATAAAGATATGTTTTTGGCTGATAAGGGTGGCTGTTCTTCTGCTGTTGATAAGAGGTCAATCATTGAGTTAGTATGTGGTTCTTCAGTTCCTTCTGGAGTTTCTATTCTTCTACCAAACAAAGCAAAAAACAAGGGTAGTGGTAGGCGCATTAAAGGATGCAAGGAGATTGCTATTGAACAAAGTAAGAAGGAGAGGACTTGCAAGAGTAGCAACAAACCTAATCATGATAGTAGGAATTGTCCGTTGAGGAAAATGAAGGATAAAGTGTGCAATTTATAGATACTTTAGATACAATTGTCTTTACATTTTTTAGGGTCGAAATATGACTATGAGAGAATCTTTATACTGTTGGTTTAGTAGATATGGAAGTAGTTTTTAGTTTAAATGGAATGATCCAGTGCTAAAAATTCGTGTTAGCATGTTGTGTAAAATTGTTCCACTAATATAGAAGATTACATGCAGTTTTAGGCAAATCTGCAAGCACTATTACTTGTGAAGATTACATGCACTTTGATTACAAGTCTAATTGCGATAATATAAACAATTAAATGCATTTACAACGAAAAATGGTTGCAAAGAGTTAATTTGTGCACTTTCATATAAATATATGAGCAATAATAGTGTAGTAGATTAATTGTACTTGTAAGAACAATTACTTGTTTTAACAAGGAAAATGTGTTTAACCTGTGGTTTAGGAGATATGGAAGAAGTAGTTTTAGCATATATGGGAAATGTTCCAGTGCTGCAACTTTGTGTGAATATGTTGTATTAAATTGTTGCACTAATAGACAAATCTTCCAGTGTTAGTCAAATATATGTGCACAATTATTTTCGAATATTACATGCACTTTCGGTGACAGATCTAATTGCGTTAATATAAACAATTACATGCATTTATAACAAAAAGTGATTGCATTGATTTGACAGTAAATGTTAGGTGCACCAGTATATCAACTGCATGCACTTACAATTAGAACTGGGTGCACTCCATCTACAACTAGGTAACTAGAACAGTTTTACAGTAGATTACAGGCACTTATACTATTAGTACTTGCATACAAGTATGATTTCATATTTTTAACATTCCAAAAATACTTCCTAAATTTGTAGGCAACTCAAAAATTGTTTTGTTCAAAGATTTAGTTGCCTGCACCAAAAACACATTCACAGACTTTCACTAAAAAACAACCAATTGTCTGTTACTTCTTTCCCTTTGAGGCCTTTTGGAAATCTCTGGCAAGCTTCATGCATTCTTCACGCTGTTCATTGATGGGGTCGTTCACTATCTCTGCAAGGTATTTCACTCGCTGGTTGTTTAGCTGTTCCTGATTTCCTTTTTTGAGCCCACACTCCCAACCCCTCACAACTTTCCCCATGTACATCTCCATGTGTCGCATAGCGAACACACCACAGTCAAGTTTGTTCTCCTCATTTCTCTAGCTCATTGCTAGTCTGAATGGTTTCAATCCCCATACAAGTTTGCTTTTTGCATCATCATTTTTGGATTGAAAGTAGTCTGCTAGCATATTTGTCTATATTACATGTACTTGTTAGTATACAAACTAATAAAAACATTAAATTATATGAAATTTGTTGAGTAACATTACCAGTGATTTTGGGATATCTCCATACTTTGAGCCTTCAATTGCTGAATTGTCCAAGATGTCAAATCTTTTATTTTCAAATTTATGCTGAGGACATAGTAGTGTTCAGCATGGACAATGGGGAACATAAACTGTTGGAAAGCATACAATTAGTAGTTTAGTTGCACATATAAATATAGTTTAATGCAATATTGATATATGTTAGGTGCACTCTTGCGTATATATTGTGTGTAACTTACCAACTCAATATTTTTAAGACTCAATCCTCCTGTCATTCTAATTTCACCATCCAATCTCTCTGAAAATCTTCTAAATCTCAATGCATGGTCACCGTAGGGGGCTACAACCGTGTAAAGTTGTAGTAAATGTAGATGTTAGTGTGCATTTTACAAATATGTTTTTATTTGAAAGGTTGTTATAGTGGTTGTAAAACTTACACATACAAACGTTGTTGCAAAAAACCTGCAAGGAGAGGTATTGCTATGAGCCCTTTCTTTATAGTTTAGAATTGTAGACCAAGCATATATGACTCTAACCTTAATCTCCATATTCATGCCCATGGATAACATGTCATCCCATATGACTGCTTTTTCACCATAGGTGAAGATCTCTTTTGTCATATTTGTAAATAATAATAATAATAATAATAATAATAATAATAATAATAATAATAATAATAATAATAATAATAATAATAATAATAATAATAATAATAATAATAATAATAATAATAATAATAATAATAATAATTAATAAATATATTAGAAATTTTAATATATTGATGACCAACACAGTCTTAGTTATATAGTCTTACGGTTCACATTTTGATTCTGTAGAACTCATTTGGCAATCGTTTTTTAATTGTTATTCCATGCTCGGTGAACATCAATTGTTCTTGTCAAGAAGGGGGACTTCAAAGGATTGGTGATCTTCACTTGCCGTTTGTCGACCCTTGGTTGCAGTTCCTGAGGTTGTTTTGCTACACTCTTATCAACTCCCCCTGCTTGTTCTCCTTGTTGTGGTTGTGGTTGTCCAGGCAGAATCTATAATGATATAGTGCAACTATATTGAGCACAAAGTGCAAGTAGTATATTCTAATAATGCAAGTAAGTTTTTAAAGTTTCATTACCTCATCAACATTCAATTGTGTTTGCTCTTCTGTTTGTTTTTGTCTTGTATTTTGTTCTGGTATTGCCTCATCAGTAGAAGGTTTAAGAGGTGTTTTAAAGCTTGACTCTGTTGCAGTGCTTGAGATATTGCGAATTGCATTTTCAATTTCTTCTTGAGTTAGCCCCAAGCTGAAACTTGGTTCCTCTGCCACCTTGTTCTTGTACTGCTCTCTTCTGGTAATTACATCATCAATTGCATCAAATGCATCAATGAACTCTGGGTTGTTTCAGAACTCTTCATTTTGTTGTATCAATGTAACATCAGGGTTTGGAATTCCAAGCAATTTCTGTGCAAATTCTACCATTTGTTTGAAATTTTCATCTTCAACTGTACGCTCTGGTGCCTCTTGTGCCACTTCCATCACTCCAAACATTGTTTTTGCTAGAAGTTTTATCTTTTGTGCAAATCTGTGCATATAATTTTTTTTTAATTTTTTTTTGCAGTTAGTAAAAGCATGTGTTAATATTCTGAGTGCACAAATTCAAAGGTATACATGCATATATAAAATAAATTACTTGCACACTATGAATTATTAACATTTTAACACTTTTCAAACATTATGTTGATGTGGTATGTATCATTTCTGCACACAAGAAGTATTAACTATGTACATGGATGTATTTAGTTAACTAGTTTACCTTTTAGTAGTATTGTTGGTTTCAAAATTCTATGTGCACTAATGCGTATAACTTCATGCACATATAACTTAATCTAGTTGCACAACATAACATTATTACTATTTACCTGCAGGTCTTCTTCATCTTCTTGTGATTTCTTTCCTTCAGTCAGTTGCCGGAGTTCCTCCTGTGGCTCATCAATGTATCCGTAGCCGAAGCCACCTGAACTAATCTCAACCTTTTCCCTTTGGTTCAGTCGATGTGTGTCCCATCCCTTGAATGCTGGTAACTCCCTAGGTACTGATCTGTTGTAAAGCTCGACTCTGTTGAAATAAAAAAAATTTGCAAAATGTATAAAATAATGTTTAGTTTTGGTGTAGTAATCATTCTTAGTTGTTTTTCTCATTCTTAAAGCAACTTACTGCCAGGAATAGTATAGACCCAGTGAACTTTTGTGATGTATTTTTTGCCCATGAAATTTTACTGCTGACCAATGCATTGAGTAGATATTCACACCAATTGATATCACTAATCTCATTCACATTTGCAAAGTGCTTGATCAGATGTGTGTTGACATACCCAGTTGTAGTGCTCTCTAAAAACATGGTTGTTATCAGTATGGCAAGATGATGTTTATGTTGGATATCTCGTTGGTAAAACCCAATAATAATCCTACAAAATATGGAATTATTATTTTCTGTAGAAAAAAGGGAAGGAAAGATGAAGAGATTGGCTCGTGTTTGGTGTTGGATTTTTAGCAAGAGTCAAGCGATCACTCTTTTCTTAAAACCTTATTTGCTACCTCTCACAAGTACTAGGAGCGTTGTAGCCTAGGCTTTCCAGGATAAAACTTGCTACGATTCAATGTTTGAGCACCCAAACAAAGAATCCAGTGAACTAAAGTAAGATTATGAACACAATATGACTAAGAAAGAAGTAGAAGCAGAGAGTTTTGAGGCTTGAAAAATTATCTTTCTTCTTGTAAATTTCTGCTACTCTCTACCTTCTATTATATAGGGGTGTCGGAGTGATAGCATTCAATGAGTGGCATTTAAATTGGTATTAAAACCAATTTTACAACACCTGAAACAGCCCCATGATGTAGAAATTAAATTCAAAATTTAAAAATTGAAATTAATACAAGATTAATTCCGTAACAAATGAACTTAATTTTCCAACAGTCACAAAGTGGTTTTCTGTTTCGTGTGCTGGAGCGTCAAAAGTAACAACTTTCGTGCTCCTCTGCCCAGCCGAAAGTAGCAACTTTCGTGCTTCAGTTCTGCCCAGCCGAAAGTAGTGCTTCAGGTTGTTTGGCAGCCAAACTTTGGAAAAATGATACCGAAGGTTGGCATAACATAGCCCGCCAATTTCCGGACGACATTCGTGCCCGTGCACACGAAATTAGGCTTGAGCCAAGCCTCACCGATCTCATTTTAGGATTTGATTTGCACCCCCCCCCCCCCCTTCCTACGCGCAAAAGAGGGCCTCTATGCTATACATTCAATAAGCCTTTAAACGACTCTTGTATAAATAGTGGGGCAAATCCTCTTCCCAAACCAATGTGGACAAAAGCTCACCTTTTCCCTTCATTTTTCCAACTCAATGGGTCTACTTTGAGAATCAATATCTCATTCACCCATTATCCGTTTTAAGCGTACAATATATCAATCTCTTCGTCTCACTACGAAGAACCTGAATCCACTTTTACCCGACCCAAATCAGAAGTGGACGCCACTGATAATTCTACCACAAAATAGCCACTTAACATGCCATTTTATGCCATTTAAGCTATTTTTTCCAACAATACCCCACATGAATGAAAAATTGATTTTCAAGGTATTTTGAAATCGGAAACAACTGTGTTCAACGGTCGATCCCTGCATAGGAT